TATATTTTTTTTCACTGAGAAAACAAACAGCAACCCTAAAACTTGCACCAGACATGCGGAAATAATAACGAAACATTTACGAATCAATAACGAATCAATTCCGAAACAATTACGAAACGAATTGGAAAAATTCGTTTCGTTTTTTAGTTGCTCCTGAATGGTTCAATATCGCTTCGTTATCCCCCAAAAAAAAACAAAAAACGAATTTTTAACGAATTGCGAAATTACGAAACGAAACCGCCCAGCCCTGCTGTTTACTCTTTTGAACCAGGTCTGGTTAACTTTTGAGTTTGGACCAGAAGCACTGCCTTTAAGTGTCTCTGTGTTACTTTTACTTTGCTGCAATAAACTTTGTTTGGAAACTAACTCGGAGTCTGGCCCTTTAAGGCGCCTGTGATTCTGACACAGAAAGTGTTGCACTGTATGCAACAAACACTCGCAAAATAAATAAATAAATAAATAATAATTTTTAAAAAAATAAAAAAGAGAAAGGATTCATGGCACAGCTCCAAGGGAGAGACCCAAAGGGGATCGCTTGTGCCCCATCCCCACCCCTCACACCATAGGGTGCATCCCCCACCCCACCTCCATTCTGCCTTACCTTCTCGTTGTAGAGCTCCCCGCGCAGGACCTCGGGGGCCATCCAGTAGGGAGACCCCACCACCGCCAGGGGCTCCTTCTCGCCCCCTTCGCTGCAATGAGGAGGAAGAGGAGGAGGAGACAGAGAGGAAGTCAGTGCAGACCACGGGAATAGGGCCCCTTCCCCACAGCAGACCCCAGGCCCAGCCAGGGAGGGAGGGATTGCTCCTGGAAGCCAAGAAGCATCTTCTCTTGTGTCTACAGAGAGCAGCTGGGGACAGAGGGAGCCCTGTGGCCCAGGCCTGCTCTCTTCCCCTCTGCTTCCTAGATCTATGCAAGAGTTCAGGGGTTTGGTTTCCTGTCTGGATGGAGAGGCCACCGCCCCCTCCTCCTGCTTCCCAAAAGTCTTTAGCGTGTCTTTATGGCCCTTTTCTGAGAAGGTGAGAGCCGTTCAGCAGTGGAACTCTCTGCCCCGGAGGGAGTGTGGTCGAGGCTCTTTCCTTCTTTGGAAGCTTTGAAGCAGAGGCTGGATGGCCATCTGTCAGGGGTGCTTTGAATGGAATTTTCCTGCTTCTTGGCAGAATGGGGTTGGACTGGATGATGGCCCAGGAGGTCTCTTCCCACTCTTTCATTCTATGATTCTATGATTCTAGGTTAGGCTCAGGTTACATCCCGAATAGACTACTGCAACGCACTTATAGAATCCTAGAGTTGGAAGAGACCTGATGGTCCACCCAGTCCAACCCCATTCTGCCAAGAAGCAGGAAAATTGCATTCAAATCACCCCTGACAGATGGCTGAGGCACGAATGGAGGGCGAAAGAGAGAAACGTGCCAAGAGAAAGGAGCATCAAGCCAAACCCGACCAGGACCGCCTCCCACCTGGAAACCGATGCCCTCACACTGGGAGAAGGTGCAGATCAAGAAGAGGGCTCCACAGCCACCTACGGACCCACCACCAGGACACTACACTTGGAGGACCATCATCCTCGGACTACGAGAGATCGCCTAAGTAAGTAAGTAAGTAAGTAAGACAGATGGCTATCTAGCCTCTGTATAAAAGCCTCCAAAGAAGGAGCATCCACCACGCTCCGGGGCAGAGAGTTCCACTGCTGAATGGCTCTCATAGTCATAGAATCAAAGAGTTGGAAGAGACCTCCTGGGCCATCATCCAGTCCAACCCCATTCCACCAAGAAGCAAGAATATTGCATTCAAATCACCCCGACAGATGGCCATCCAGCCTCTGTTTAAAAGCTTCCAAAGAAGGAGCCTCCACCACACTCTGGGGCAGAGAGTTCCACTGCTGAACAGCTCTCACACTGAGGAAGTTCTTCCTCATGTTCAGATAGAATCTCCTTCCTTCTAGTTTGAAGTCTCCAGGGTGGCAGAAAGGAAGCTTGCTCCCTCCTCCTCCCTGTGGCTTCCTCTCACATATTTATCCATGGCCCTCATCATATCTCCTCTAAGCTTTCTCTTCTTCAAGCTAAACATGCCCAGCTCCTTAAGCCGCTCCTCATAGCGGCTTAAGGCCCCTGATCCTTTGAGTCGCCCTCCTCTGGACACATTCCAGCTTGTCAACATCTCTCTTGAATTGTGGTGCCCAGAATTGGACACAGTGTGATTCCAGGTAAAGTGGTCTAACCACAGCGGAATAGAGCATGGGGAGCAGGACTTCCCTGGATCTAGACACTGGGCTCCTATTGATGCCTGAGGCCAACATCCCATTAGCTTTTTTTGCCATCACATCACATTCCTGGCTCATGTTTAACTTGTTGTCCACACGTCCTGCTCTCGAGCCAGGCATCGTCCCCCATTCGGTATCTCTTTCTAAGCTGAACCAGCACATCAACCCTGTGTATTTCCTGCATGAAGGCAGAAGAGGGCTGGACAAATAGCCCACGTGGCCTCTTCCTTCCAACTACGATCCCATGACCAACAGACCTCACTACCTCTGAGGATGCTTGCCATAGATGCAGGCGAAACGTCAGGAGAGAATGCCTCTAGAACATGACCATACAGCCCGAAAAAACCTACAACAACCCTACAGTCCCATGATTTCCTCTCCCATTTCCTGCCTTAAGCTCCTGTCTAGCCCCCTCCTCTACTGCTATAAGTATGGAGTGGGGGGGGGGGTCCCACCTGTAAGTGGGGATCTTCTCCGCCAGGCCAAAGTCTCCCACCACCGCCGTGTAGCCATTGTCCTCGCACCGGACGAGACAATTCTGCAAAGGGAGAGAGGGGGGGATGGGCATGGGCATTCATGGGCGGGGGGGGGGGACAAGGGTGGACCTTCCCCCAGTCCAGATGGGCAAGGGTCCCCCTGGTTGTACCTTGGAGGTGAGGTCCCGGTGGAAGATGCCTTTGCTGTGCAGGTAGCGGAGGCCGCGGGCAATGTCCAGCGCCAGCTTGATGCGGACCGGCCAGGGCAGCGGTGTGGGGCTGTCCAGCAGCTGCTCCAGGTTCCCTCCATTGATGTACTGTGGGGTGTGGAAAAGGGTCTGGGGTCAGGAGGAGGTCAGGGGTCATGGATCAGGGCCCTTTTCAAACCCAGATCCCTTCTGTCAAGCTGCACGTCCTTCTGCCTCCGTCCAGTCGTCACTATCCTCCTCGGTCCACTACATCTCACATATTGGAATTCTGCAATGGCAACGCCAGGTTTCACTTCTGCAGTTTCAATTCCTCACAGATTGATTCAATATTTTCTCTCTAGGAACTTCTGTGGCAGAAGATGACCCAACGCTTTTCAAGGAATCTCTACGTCAGGCATGGGCCAACTTGGACTTCAACTCTCACAATAATCGGGTTGTGGTGCAGCTAGTTAGTAGCCAGCTGCATTTAATCACTACTGACTAAGAGGTCATGAGTTCGAAGCCACCACAGATCAGAGTAAGCTCCCAACCATTAATAGTCTAGCTTGCTGTTGACCTTTGTAGCCCCAAAAGACAGTTGCAGCCCCCAAAGTAAATCCAGAGGGATCTGGACACTGTGCATAACGACCACTCGCAAAGAAAACCAATCCCAAAGCCTCTCTAGAAGCCAAGAGGGCTACACAGAGGTTGCCAAGCTTTGGCCCTACCAGGAGGAGAGAGGCCTCATTGGAAAAGGCCGTAATGGTTGCTAAGGCAGAAGGAACAGAGGAAGGAAGGTCCTTTCTAGGTGGAGAGGCTCCATCCATGAGGACCGGGCTGTGGCGCAGCTAGTTAGAAGCCAGCTGTATTAAATCACTATGGACTGAGAGGTCATGAGTTTGAAGCTAGCCCAGGTCAGAGTGAGCTCCCGACCATTAATAATCTATAATAATAATAAACCTTTATTTATACCCCGCTACCATCTCCCCGGAGCCCCCGGTGGCGCAGTGGGTTAAAGCACTGAGCTGCTGAGCTTGTTGATTGAAAGGTCGCAGGTTCGATTCCGGGGAGCGGCGTGAGCTTCCGCTGTCAGCCCTAGCTTCTGCCAACCTAGCAGTTCGAAAACATGCAAATGTGAGTAGATCAATAGGTACCGCTCCGGCGGGAAGGTAACGGCGCTCCATGCAGCCATGCTGGCCACATGACCTTGGAGGTGTCTACGGACAACGCTGGCTCTTCGGCTTAGAAATGGAGATGAGCACCACACCCCAGAGTCAGACATGACTGGACTTAATGTCAGGGGACTACCTTTACCTTTACCTTACCATCTCCCCAAGGGACTCGGTGCGGCTTACATGAGGCCGAGCCCACAATACATCAGTAAAACAATAACAACAGTAATACAAAACAATACATAACTCATAATAAAAATAAGCTTGCTCTTGACCTATGCAGGTTGAAAGACAGTTGCATCTGTTAAGTAGGAAATTTAGGTACCACTCTATGTGGGGAGGCTAATTTAACTAATTTAGGACACCATAAAACCTTCCAGCAGCGTGCGGTAGTATGAGGAAGTACTCCATCAAGGACTTGGTGTCATAAGTGGACTGTGAAGCGGTAGCTCCCCCTGTGGCTGGAATTGAGCATACCCTCATGAAGCCAGAAAGCCGGAATGTTAAATTGCCTGTGTGCTTGTCTATATCTTTGCACTTTGCACCTACTTCCAAAAAACCTCTACATACCGCCTGTCAAGTTCAGCACTTTTAAATTTTGTCCATTACATTTGGCCCGGCCTTTAGGTTTTAAATGCGTCATGGTGTCATTGTTTTTAGTGTTTGATTGTCTTTGCTTGATGTTTTATTATTTGCTTATGAGTTTCACTGTTATATTTGTATGTTGTTGCTGTTGGCGGCCTTGGCCTTTGTAAGCCGCATCGAGTCCTTCGGGAGATTTTGCGGGGTATAAATAAAGATAATAATAATAATAATAATAATAATATCTGTTGGATGTATATGGCATTGAATGTTTGCCATGTATACGTGCATTGTAATCCGCCCTGAGTCCCCTGCGGGGTGAGAAGGACAGAATATAAATACGGTAAGTAAACAAACAAATCAATAAATATATTGTCGAAGGCTTTCATGGCCGGAATCACTGACTTGTTGTAGGTTTTTTCGGGCTATATGGCCATGGTCTAGAGGCACTTTCTCCTGACGTTTCGCCTGCATCTATGGCAAGCATCCTCAGAGGTAGTGAGGTCCGTTGGAAATAGGACAATGGGTTTATATATCTGTGGAATGACCGGGGTGGGGCAAAGAGCTCTTCTCTGCTGGAGCTAGGTGTGAATGTTTCAGCTGACCACCTTCATTAGAATTTGAAGGCCTGCCTGAGCCTGGGAAAATGTTCTGTTGAGAGGTGTTAAGATGTGCCTGGTTGTTTCCTCTCTGCTGTTTTGCTGTTGTAATTTTAGAGTTTTTAATACTGGTAGCCAGATTTTGTTCATTTTCATGGTCTCTCCTTTCTGTTGAAATTGTCCACATGCTTGTGGATTTCAATGGCTTCTCTGTGTAGTCTGACATGGTGGTTGTTGAGTGGTCCAGCATTTCTGTTTATCCACAGCTGCATGGTATACGGTAGACTCCTGCAGAGGTGAAAGAAAAGATTCCCCCAGGCACTGTCAAGCCATCAAATGCTAATTAAGGTGGTCAGTTGAAACATTCACCCCTAGCTCAAGCAAACAAGAGTCCTTTGCCCCATCCTGGTCATTCCACAGATATATAAACCAATTTTCCTACTTCCAACAGACCTCACTACCTCTGAGGATGCTTGCCATGGATGCAGGCGAAACGTCAGGAGAAATGTCTCTAGACCAGGGGTAGGGAACCTTTGGCCCTCCAGCTGTGGTGGACTTCAACTCCCACAATTCCTTGAGGCTCGGCATTGGGCCAAGGTAAGCCTTTGGGGCGAATGCTGAGCCTCAAGGAATTGTGGGAGTTGAAGTCCACCACAGCTGGAGGGCCAAAGGTTCCCTACCCCTGCTCTAGACCATGGCCCTATAGCCCGAAAAACCTACAAGAACCTAAATAAATAAATAATGCCCAAGAGTGGGTAGGTTGTGAGGAATGGTGGGAGCTGAAGTCCAAAACACCTGGAAGAGGGTCAAAGTTGGCCCATGCCTGCTCTAAGTCCTCAGGGACAACTTCTCTTTGTTTCAGTTAATAACAATTCTCCTTATTCCCATTTATATGCTGATTTCCCCAAAAAAGTGGCCGAAGAGTTGACTCCTCCTCCTCCTCCTCCCTCGGGCCCGGAAACCCAGTGTTTCTCACCTCCGTCAAGGCGTGGAGCTGACCCTGGTGGACGCAGACGCCCATGAACCTAAAAGAGAAAGGGACAAAGGGACACTGGTCAGGAGGACCCCAGACCCTTCCTCCCACAATGCCCGGGCCCCACCCACAGACCCACCAGTGCCGTATCTGTGTAACCAACACTGAAGCAAGAGGCTAGAACGGGAAACTTGGGAAGATGATCATCAAAGGCCACCATCCCATCCAAGCCCAGTTTTTGCCAGGCAGGAAGACCCCACCCAAGCCCTCTCGGCAGATGTCCCCCAGAGAGAGACCCCGATGCCAGGGAGGAGGGGCCTCACCGGAGGATGTTGGGGTGGGAGAGGCGGTTCATGAGCTGCACCTCGCGGAGCATGTTGCCCCGGTTGCTCATCAGCTTGTTCATCTTCAGCACCATGATGTGCCCCGACTGGCGGTGCCTCACCTGCAGGAAGAAGACGCAGAGAGGTCAGTCGGGAGTCAGAGCGGGACGCGGGATCAAGGGTCAGGCCTTGGCCGCTCCCACGCCCCTCCCTCCTGGGGGCAGGGGGGCTCCCCAGCAGGGAAAAGAGGCAAGTGTTGTTGTTGTTGTTGTTACTTTTATTATAATTTTGTTTATCTATATATATATAAATGCTCTGTGCCTAATGAGTACCTTAAAAACAAAAGAACCAATGAACGAAATCACGCCAAATCTGGCAACAAAACGTCTCACAACACAAGGAGTGACCATCACTCAAAAAATACGATTTTGTCATTTGGGAGTTGTAGTTGCTGGGATTTATAGTTCACCTACAATCAAAGAGCATTCTGAACTCCATCAACAATGGAATTGAACCAAACTTGGCACACAGGACTCCCGTGACGAACAGAAAATACTGGAAGGGTTTGGTGGGCATTGACCTTGAGTTTGGGAGTTGTAGTTCACCGACATCCAGAGAGCACTGTGGACTCAAACAATGATGGATCTGGACCAAACTTGGCACAAGCACTCAATACGCCCAAATATGAACACGGATGGAGTTTGGGGAAAATAGACCTTGATATTTGGGAGTTGTAGTTACTGGGATTCACAGTTCACCTACAATCAAAGAGCATTCAGAACCCCACGAACGACAGAATTGCAGCAAACTTCCCACACTGAACCCCCCTGACCAACAGAAAATACTTAAGGCCATCCAATCCAACTTCCTTCATCAGGGCAAGAAAACGTAATCAATGTCCTCCTGACAAAGAGCCATCCAGCCATAGATAGATAGATAGACAGACAGACAGACAGACAGACAGACAGACAGAGAGAGAGAGAGAGAGAGAGAGAGAGATAGATAGACAGATAAAAAGATAGTAGGCCTGGGCGGTTTCGTTCGTTAATTTTGTAATTCGTTAAATATTCGTTAATTTTAGCAATTACAAAACGATTACAAAACTTATTTTTAAACCCGGAAGTGTTTTTAAATATCGAAACGGCATGCGCCAAATATTTTTGTATTTCCGTCCATTTCGGAAATACGTAAGATGGCTAGATGCTTGCTGGGAGCTCTCCTCTCTCTCCTCTCCTTAGCCAGTCAGAGCCTGAAAGAGGAGGAGGAGGAGGAGAGAGGAGGAGAGGGCGGGGAAGGCGCCGGCTGAGCAAGCGAGCGAGAGGGCGAGCGACCCTCAGCGGGAAGGCGGCCCGTCCCTCCTTCCTCACCTTTGCGGTGGGTGTGCTTCGTTCTCCCAATTCCGCACTGAAACCTTAGCGGAGGGCTGGGCTAGATGGCCTTTGGGGAGCCCTTCTCCCAATTTCGCATTGAGACCATAGCAGAGGGCGGGACTAGATGGCCTTTGGGGAGCCCCTTCTCCCAATTCCACATTGAAACTTTAGCAGAGGGCTGGAATGTATAGCCTTTGGGGAGCCCCTTCTCCCAATTCCGCATTGAAACCTTAGGAGGGGGCTGGACTAGATGACCTTTGGGGAGCCCCTTCTCCCAATTCCACATTGAAACTTTAGCAGAGGGCTGGAATGTATGGCCTTTGGGGAGCCCCTTCTCCCAATTCCGCATTGAAACCTTAGGAGGGGGCTGGACTAGATGGCCTTTGGGGAGCCCCTTCCTCCAATTCTGCATTCAAACCTTAGCAGAGGGCTGGACTAGATGGCCTTTGGGGAGCCCCTTCTCCCAATTCCGCATTGAAACCTTAGGAGGGGGCTGGACTAGATGGCCTTTGGGGAGCCCCTTCCTCCAATTCTGCATTCAAACCTTAGCAGAGGGCTGGACTAGATGGCCTTTGGGGAGCCCCTTCTCCCAATTCCGCATTGAAACCTTAGGAGGGGGCTGGACTAGATGGCCTTTGGGGAGCCCCTTCCTCCAATTCTGCATTCAAACCTTAGCAGAGGGCTGGACTAGATGGCCTTTGGGGACCCCCTTCTCCCAATTCCGCACTGAAACCTTAGCTTCGGAGGAGCCGGGCCCGACTCGGCGGCAGCGCTTGAGGGCCCGCCAGAGTGAGTGCCTGCCTTCCCTCCTTAATAATAATTTCTCCTCCCTATTCTACTAAATTAATAATTAAATTTAAAAAATATTGGAAAAAAAAGGGCGCCATCTTTACAAAATGTTTTGTAAATATTAACGAAATTTCGTAAATACCGAACTTTTTTAAGGGAAAATTTTGTAATTATTTTAAATATCGAAACAAAAAAAAAAACCCCAAATACAAATCGATTTTAGAAACAAATTTTTGCGTTGTTACCCAGGCCTAATAGATAGATAGATAGATAGATATGATTCACACACACACAGACATAGTATCATAGATTTGAAAGTGACCCTTAAAGAAGGACAATGATATGTTGCATGTTCCAGGGTGGGCAAACCACTCTCCACATCAACACTGACAAAGAAATAGCAAGAAATTCTGTTTACCCACATGCATAAATAAATTACATATACTGTATTAGAAACCAACACTTTCTCATTACTTTATTTTCCAGATCAATAGACTGGGCCACAGCAACGTGTGGCAGGGGACAGCTAGCGTTTATATATACCCCACTTTTTCTCTCCACAAAGTGGCTGACCTTGAAAGCATTCCAATATAACATGCAAAATCTACATAAATATAAACATGACAACAGAACTAAACATCAATGCTATTCCTGTTTGCCTCTGGCTTTGCCGTTGCGCAAGGACACACCTCCCCCTGAAGGCAGGCACAGAAGTCCTTTGTTGTGACTCAGTCTGAGCCTGAACTTCCTGGGCCTGCTGGGTCTTCTGAGCCTGTCTTTTTGCAGGACGACGAGGAGGCTGATGGCTTACAGGTTTCTGTACATAGTCCAGACGGGGCTGGTAGTGAGGCTTCTGAAGGAGAAACAGCAAGCCTGTTCCCCGGGGAACGGAATGTGCCTTTAGATCAGTGTTTCTCAACCTGGGGGTCGGGACCCCTGAGGGGGTCGTGAGGGGGTGTCAAAGGGGTCGCCAAAGACCATCAGAAAACATAGTATTTTCTGTTGGTCATTGGGATTCTGTGTGGGAAGTTTGACCCAATTCTATTGTTGGTCGAGTTCAGAATGCTCTTTGATTGTAGGTGAACTATAAATCCCAACAACTACAACTCCCAGATGTCAAGGTCTATTTCCCCCAGACTCTACCAGTGTTCACATTTGGGCATACTGAGTATTCGTGCCAAGTTTGGTCCAGATCCATCATTGCATGAATCCACAGTGCTCCTCTGGATATAGGTGAACTACAACTCCAAAACACAAGGTCAATGCCCACAAAACGCTTCCAGTGTTTTCTGTTGGTCATGGGAGTTCTTTATGCCAAGTTTGGTTTAAATCAGTCGCTGGTGGAGTTCAGAATGCTTTTTGATTATAGGTGAACTATAAATCCCAGCAACTACAACTCCCAAATTACAAAATTTGGTATTTGTGCTCAATTTAGTCCAGTGAATGAAAATATATCCTGCATATCGGATATTTACATTACGATTTATATCTGTATTAAAATGACAGGTATCAAGTAGCAACGAAAACAATATTATGGTTGGGGGTCACCACAACATAGGGGACTGCATTAAGGGGTCACGGCATTAGCAAGGTTGAGAACCACTGCTTTAGATAAAGATAGTGAAACAACTCCACAAGTTCAGGAGGATCCTTTCGCTTCCCAGACTGATGAGGCCTGTTGAGGTTCAGCCTCCTCCGTGTGATCCTGAGCCTCAATCTCTGTGTGAACCTGATTCTCTGAGTGTATTTCCTGATGCAACTGAGCAAGCCACTGAACATGTATCTTTCCCTGATAGTGTTGAAAATGTTGATGCTGAGAACAGTGGCGGGGAAAGTGAAACTGAACAGCCGGATGAGAATGCTTTGGAATCAGGCCGTGATAGCTCTCCAGAGGGAATCACACCTGGGTTTTTTTTTAATGAGAACCGAAGGGAACAGATTTGGAAAAACAGGAGTGAATCAGTTTCTACGAAGGTCAAATAGATTACGGGAGAGGGAGGCTTCAAAGTCTGGAGGCGTTTCAAGAAATAGTTTCTTTGGTTTAAGGGGCCTCCCCCCGGTTGTCTCGTTAGATCAAGCAACGTTTTACACTGAGGCAGCACCTTGGCAGTTTTCCTGTGTTCCATTTATTTACTTATTTATTTATTTACTTTGCTTATATACCGCTGTATCTCAAGCCCGAAGGCGACTCACAGCGGTTCACAAACAGTAAAAACAGTAGAAACAGCAGTGGTTCCATGCAACATAGAACAATTGACTTAACACATGATCCATAAATTACCAATAAGCAATTACAATGCACAATTATTAAGAAAAACAACCGTACCCAATCTTCTCATCATCCAAGCGTAGTCCAGGTTCGTCGTCCATTGTTCCATTCCTATGTTCCATTACCAGATTGCACTAAATTACTCAAACGTCTGCACAAATATCCAGGTCTTCACCTTTTTGCGGAATACCATTAGAGATGGTGCTAGTCTAATGTCCGTAGGAAGGGCGTTCCACAGCCAAGGAGCCACCACCGAGAAGGCCCTATCTCTCGTCCCCACCAGCCGAGCTTGAGAAGCAGGCGGGATCGAGAGCAGGGTCTCCCCGGAAGATCTCAAACTCCTGGTGGGTTCATAGGCAGAGATGCGGTCAGATAGGTAGCTTGGGCCGGAACCGTTTAGGGCTTTAAAGGCCAACGCCAGCACTTTGAATTCAGCCCGGTAGCAAATCGGTAGCCAGTGGAGTTGGTGCAACAGGGGGGTTGTATGCTCCCTGCGCTCCGCTCCATGGCCTGCATTCCCAGAGGGTTCTAGTTTTCAAGTACGGTTAGTGATGCTAACAGGTTCCTGGTTTCTGTATTGTTGTTTTTGGAATTTTGCTCAAGTTCAAAGATTTGTCCTGACTGCGGAGTTTCTACTGTGGCTTTTTGACTTTGCATTTACCTTTCTTTTGTAACCATTTTTCATCAATAAAAA